AAGCTTTACTTTTCGTTGTCTGCCGATCGTTCCAAGCTCAAAGTATGTGTATGTGTTCTTGCTGTGCATAATTGCCTTCCGCTTACTTTCATTGCTCCCTTTTATGCATGCATGTGTGTGTGCTGCTAAAGTCCTTGTACATGTATTGCGTCTGTATACGTAAATGTCAGTGCCCATACCGATTGTATGTGTAAGTGTTGCTTCTCCCTACCTGCTGACCGTTCCACATTTCCATTCCAAAACTTCGTACAGAACGCTCTCTCGCTTAAAATTCTATTTATGTATATTAATAATCATTATAACCAAAATTATTATAAACAATTTCTTAAAATTATTATCATATATATATTACAATTTAACTTAATATAACAATAAAGTAACACACACACACGACATCAGCAGGAGGAGGAGAGGAGAGCCACTGCGCTGCACTGGACTACCGACCCACCGGCCAGCCAAACCGACTGAAGAAGCGCTGCGCAGGCTTCACTTTATATGTATATGGGGGGCTACCACTCAAACTGATCGCAGTTCTGGAGCATTCTTTTGAGAAGTGAGCACCCGATCATTAAGTGACCATTCCTATTGGTCTCGCTCGCTGCTGCTGATCTACTCAAGTGTTCTTTATATGTATATCAGAGGAGTGCATACATAATGTATGTATGATAGATAGACATTCGTATAAACTGTGTGATCTAGATTAACCCATACATAAATATGAGATCTACTACGACTAAAACATTCCCTAAAGCATATAAAGAGAGGATTCCGCCAAACTCCATATCAAATAACAATCAAGATTTAGAAAAAAAGAGCAGGATATATTTATAAAGTAGTCACACATATTAAGACTTAATTACAAAGTTACAAATCAACTATTTTAAATCCTACACTTAGCTTAAAAACAAATCGAATCAATTACAAATTTCCGATTGTGACTGCCTGGCTTAAAAGTGCAAGTAAATATATCTATATATTTGAGAATCTCCGATCCACTGGGGAAACTAACTCTTGAAGAGACCAACGCACATCAGGAGATTGCGACGCGTGAAGTGCAGCGTGAGGAACGGCGAATTCTTGCTGGGAAATGTGCGCAACAGATAGACATCCTCATCGTTCTCGTCCTGATGGTGTGACACGGTTATCTGATTGCTCAGGTAATCATCGGTGAGCTTGTGGAAGTCCCACAGCGTCAGGTTGTTATCCAGTCCGCCGGCAGCCAACAAAGTGCCGTCCCGGCTGAAGGTAATCGTGGTCACGGTGCTCGTGTGCCTCAGCAGCGTAGTGACCAGCGACCCATTCGACAGATCCCAGATGATGATGTTGTGATCGACCGAACCGGAGGCCAGGTAACGGCCGCAAGTGGAGAAGGCTAGGGAGCTGACGGTGCCCTTGTGTCCGGTCATCAGGCGCACGGATTGGCCAGTCAGCACGTCCCACAGACGCACCGTGCGATCGCTAGAGCCGGTGGCCACATAATTCGAATTCGGATGAAATTGCACGCAATCCACGCCAGATAAATGTCCGACAAATACGCGCAGCGACTGATTCGAGTCCGTGGCCCAGAGCCGAGCGGTTTTGTCATACGAGCACGATACAAAATAATAGCCATGCGGCGCAAAGCGAACATCCCACACCGGGTAGACATGGCCGCGATAGGTGACCACACAGGACCAGGTTAGCAGTGACCACAGCCGAATGGTGCTGTCCTCCGAGCAAGAGAGCAACAGATTCATCTCAGGCGCAAATGCGCAACGATAGACGGGACCCGTGTGGCCCAGGAAGGAGCGCGTCATCTCTCCGCTGCGCTCGTCCAGCATACGGGCATTGATATCCGATGATTCCTTGTCCAGTTCGCGTAGCGCCTCGGCGTCTTTTAAAGCACGCAGCTTGGCTGGCGTCAATGACCAAATGCGCACCATGGAATCCGCGAAGCCACAGGCGAGCATTGTAGAGTCATCCGAAATCTCGGCACAGGTGACGCCCTGCATGGAATTAAGTATTGTATAGAATACGGCAGAGGGCAGTTGATCCTTGTTCAGCGGCAGACGTTTGCTGGCCTCGCGCAACGCCTTGAGCTTGAGTAATTTGTCCGCATCCTTTAGCTCCGGCAGAGGGATGCGATCTATGGCCGGGGCATTGGGATCGGATTTCGATTTCTTCGACAGCAGCGGATCTTTTTTGGGCTTCTTCTTTTTGGGTCGATCTGGTGCATCCGGATCGTCGTCCTCTTCTTCGGGCGCTGGTGCGGGCGTGGTCAGCGTCTGAAAGTCCACTTCCTTGAGCAATCCGTAGTAGACGCGGATTTTGTTGTCCTGACGCTTTGCATCGCCAGTGTGGGAGCCCGCCGTTGCCACGCACTGCAGCTTGTTCCGAGCCATGCCCTCGTAGGTGTCAAAGTGCAGATACTTGGATACGATATCGGCCACAACCTCTTGCCTCCGATCCTGAATGTGGCGCTTAAACAGGGAATGGGCATCCCGGGACATGCGTATCACGAACTTGTCGGTCTCCATGGCATTCACAAGATCGTTGTCGAGCAGCTCCTCGGGCTTGGATATCAGCAACAAGTTGAAGAGGCCTTCTATATAATACCCATCGAGATCAGACTTATATTTCTCAATAAATCCACGCGCCTTTTCTACCTGCCCACTGGCTAGAATTTTAAAGTAGATCTGCACCAGTATTGGGTAGAGCACCATGGACAATTCGTGCTTATAGATGTCCAAAGATTCCTCCACAAATGTTCGCAGTTCTTCGTACGCCTGCTCGTACTGTTGGGCATCGAAGGCATCGTCGCCAATGAATTTTGCCAGCGCCTCGGCGGCGTTGGTTTCCGTGGCCGCCTTCGATTCGTTGGATTGTGCTGCTGCTGCCGACGCTGCCGACGCTGCCTGACGATTGAGATTCTCCTCAGTGAACGACAGCGCGGCGTTAAGCACCGTCTTAACATCGTCATCGTCAATTTTTGACAAATCTGCGCTGTTCACATTTGCCTCCCGGCAGAGCAGCTCCTCTGTTCCTTTTAATTGGTATTTTTTCAGGAGTTTAAGCAAACAGAGTAGTTCGCGCTTGTCCTGTGAATGTTGTGAGTTATCATTGCCATTGCCGCCATTTACGTTTGCTACGTCTAAATTCATTATTAAACGAAATATAAACTATATTTTACTGTTTGTGTTTGTTTTGGTAATAACGACAGCGATATTTGTGTAGCTGTGTATTTAATACAGGCAGGGGTACTTTTGAGATTATCGATACATAATAAGTAAAGGTATTTTTATTTATGCATTTTAGTATTTTTATGCATTGTGCAACACTAAAAGTTCAATCATGCCTTGAACGAGAAATATTTATGGCTTATAAATAAAGACCTATTTATAATTAATAAGAGATTAAAGGGTTGAATTATTATTGAATAAATTTTAAAAGCTATAACTTATAAAGTTAAAAAGTAATTTTTAACAGAAATTAGGAGAAGAGATGAAGAAAAGAGTAATTGTAAAGAAGGTACGTAATCAGAATATATGTATTTTCTATAAATAATAATATTTGTATATGTTGCGGCACTATTAACTTCATTTAGAATTGATAACAGCTACTTGCAGAATAACTTTGTGCGTGTAAATATTGTTGTACCTGTGATCCCAATCCCAAGCATTTAGACTTTGCCTGCCCCAAAAGTAACCTTTGTCTTTTATGTCTTCGCACAATGAGCGATGTTGATTTTGTTGCGGTAGGTTAATATGTTTATCTCTTTGATTACATTTCAATTAATATACGTGACCTTCACAGAAAAAAGTTGGCCTTAAGTCAGCTAAATCCATTGATAACGATGCCGCCACGACACCGGAAACACGTTACAGTTTCACAGGACGCATGCAGGAGCTTGTCGAGGCATACAATGCAACGGTGCAATTGCTGGTGCCGAAGTGGCCCTGGTTCTTCTACCCTGGCTATTTGATATATGCGGTATACTGGCGCTATGCCAAATACTACAGGGGCAAGTTTCTGCTCACCCCCATGCCCAATCAGCTCTACGAGCTGCTGATCAAGAACGAGCTAATCAAATCGGAGCACATCATCTTTGCCAGCAAGGATGTTTACGATGCTTACGCCGAGTCGGCTGATGTGAATTTTGTCAATTTGATTGTGCGCGGAGCGTGGAGCAGCAAGGCGAATCTAAAATGTGGCTCCGTTCGCAGCTGGGACAGCTCTGAAGTGGTCAAACAAATCCTGCAGGAGACGCCATATACCATCGTGGCACAAATATTGCCCATAGAAAATGCACAATGCCAGAGCAATTGTCTGTATGTAAAGGTAAGTATTATATATATTTATGTATATACAAATGTATTTATATTTTTATTTTCAGGAAAACTTTTATGGTAACCTAATGGAGCGCTGCGGCAACAACAAGAAGCGCAACAATTGTTGGGTGCAGCTGGATACCTTCAATGATGAACAGACAATACCCACGATTGCCACGAAGGCTCAAGTGTATCTGCTCAACAATCCCCATGAGCTGCCCGCTGAGGTATCAGAGCTGATCTTGAGCAACTATTTCAATACGCCGCGCATGCTACATCGCGGTCACATTTATCGCATCGAGGTGAATGCCCAGCTGGTGGGCACAGCTGCCTTTGCCCACTACTATCTGATATTCGCCTATTTGCGTGAGGTTTACTTCCGTTGCGTCCACCTGGAGTCGAAGGGCAGCGAATTTGAGCTGCAGGCAGTCGTGGCCAAGAACTTCAGCAATTTGGTGCAGGTGCCGCATGTGCACAGCTTTTTGCCACGCCAGACTCTCGATAGCTGTGCCATAGCCAACAATTATCCCAGTGGCTTGCGCAGGCCGTACCAGATGCTGCGCTCCTCGGTGGATGCCTTTTTGCCCAAACGCTCTGCTTGTTTGTCCTCCAAGCACATCTTTCCGGTCTTCTTGCTGCAGGGCGATCGCGGCTCTGGCAAGACGAAGCTAATCACT